ACCGATGCAAGAGTTCTCTTTTATGAGGTGATTTATCTGAGAAATCGTAGAAATTTTTTTCAATTGTTCCCATTTGAAATGAGTATAATGCTTAACACTTTGCTGTCGGGCTATTTTGCGTCCTACATCCATAGTAGGCAAACAGCGGTTTCTACAGTATCAGAATTTTATCATCTGAATAAAATTTGTATTCTGTTTGAATTTGATTTCGAAAATAAATATACGTTATTTGATCTCTACGCAGTAAAAATTAATATTAAAACTACTGAGCAGTTAAAGTGACTTTTCGAAATTTCTTTATAGGAACTTTAAAAGTGCATCTATTGAGACTTTGATTCACAATTCAGTTTGCGTATTGCTAAACCAATTTCTTTAATAATTTCTCAAAGAAATATCTGTTATCTTTTTAATATAATAATTGCAAAAGGAAGAAATCAGGAATAGGGCATTTTGACCCGATCTGGTATTTTTAGTGTTAAGAGAAAAAAGAAAAGAAATTCCGGCAAAAATGGGTTAAAGAAATATTATTGTGACGAGGTAATTTTGCAGTCTTGTCAAGTCTTCAGCTGTCGAGCGTCAGTATGCCTGAAACTGTAATATGACGAGTCTCCATACAGAATTATATTCGAAAGTTTGTTCACTTAAAACTGAATACAACTCGAGGAAATTCTCAATTGCGCCTTTTGTTACAAACTTCTATAAATTAATTTAACCCTTTGCATCTATCGATCATCGATGAATGACATAGTGTTTAACGTATTAATTTAATGTTAACTGTTATCTAATTTAGTGGTGGAAGTATCAACGTAGTAATATCCTGACCACCGCACAAGCGTTGTAAAAGAAATGGAATATAAAGATTACATAAAAATACAGAAATCAGTAAACTTGTAAATTTTCTACGGATCGTATGCGATTATTTATGCAGAATACTATATAATGCAGTAACGAAAAGATCGCGTATCGATCTTCCCGGGCTTTTTAATAATACCGGCAGTAGCAGCAACTAGGAATTAATTACCGAACGAGCGGTTCGAGCGTGAAGAATTCACGTACAGCGAGTGAACGGTAAGTCTGAATGAAGAACAACGTCTGATTTGAGGAAACGATCGAGCTTGCTCGGTTTCGGGGTAACCTTTCGAAACGGTACTGTTCGGCTGCGTCATCGTAGCAACCGACGCTCTACCGTAAGTCAAATCGGACCTGAAAAGCTACAGCCGGAGCCGTACGAATTCTAAACAAACGCGTATCAATCATGCGGCGGATTTCTATGAAATTTTTTTGCATGCAAGTTTCGTTCTCCTTTTGTTACGCTGAAACGCGACGGCACGTTTCCGCGCACGTGTACAAGAAACTCGTCAAGGATAACAGCTATGGAATCGTAACTACCAGCGAATTGCGTCGGTAAAGAAGGAGCTCTGGTTTCGAGGAAAGCAACTTGATTTCATCCACGTACTCCGTGGACTACGATTCATTGAATTCTTTTTGTTTTCCAAATAATAATATATTATTTTTCTGTTACATGTAAGCTGTTGAATGATTACGCAACGAATGTTCACATTTCGAAAGGTTTACAAAGTCAAGGAGCTACTGTTAAGATATTTGATAATGATAAACAAATATGTTTAATTATATTTAATAATGTTAAATAAATATACCTATTTGAATAATAAATTAATAATTATACATTGTTTTCTGATATACAATGTTTCTATTCAAGAGGTATGTTGATTAGCTTCAGATAACTGATCCTTATTTGGTAGTTTGTATAGTATACTGTAAACATTAATTTTCAAGTTCAATGTAGTCATATTTATGAAAGAATTTGTGTTACGAAGAAGCCTTAATAGTATCGTTAGGCTGCAGGGGGAAACCGTTTATGATGATGAAAATCACCAATTTACTTTGCATCGAATCGTTTTAACCGCTGCAGTACGAAAATAATTTACGCTATGCAGTCATACTATTGAATACAGGAAAGAATGTGTCACATGAATAAATTCATTATGAATCAACATTCTAATTACATATATTTATTTAAACCACACAAGAGTGTAATTCGTAGCACAATGAACATCCCCATTCAATTTACTTTGTACAAGTTTCATTCAACGCGAAGCTACAGTTTCAGATTTCAATCAGAGTAACACTCCGTTCACTTCACTTTATATCCTTCTCAATACAACAACATCCAGCATGTTGTAAAAACTGTAATTACGCACTGGGATTCTCAAGATGGAGATTGATTCATGATATACAGTAGGATCCCCTACAACGTGGTTAAAAAGTTTCACGTTATAGTGACTTCTTTTGCAGATTTCGTGTTAAATTCCACAGACATCGCCCTCTGGATACTGCTTCAACTCCTTTTGCTTGTACTATTTTCGTATGAAGACTCTGATTTTCATAGTTATTTTTTAGAAAATTTTTAATTGCGTTGTACGGAGTCCTACTGTACTATTACAGCGTTAGAATAACAATATTCTAATTCTTGCAAATTGAAGTAAATTTTCAAAACAGAATCAGATTCTTTATTGAAATTTCATATTTCTAAAAGATCAAACCCAAATAAACACGATAGACATTATTACTTAACATAACAACATTTTTCACATTCCATCTTTATCCTATTTAATATCGATCTTTTCATATCTAATTAAATGAGAATAAAACTCCAGAAGCAATTAATAAAATACCAAATTATTATATCCCACTTCTATTATTAATACGAATATTTCTATAATTATAACAAATATATTTCTCTTATTCACCCAAATTTCAGTTCGTTCATAAAAACTGTTCGCAACGCATCAACGTCAGAACCATCGAACAATTAAAAAATGTATCACCCACATTCAGAAACACCGAAAAATATAGTTCCACGAAGAATCCAGCTCATCGAATTTGCAATTCAATGGCCCTCAACGAGCACCGATTAATTTCGCGTATAAGATGATTAACAGAAATATCGGTGGCAGGGGGTGGGGTCAAGGAAAGAAATGACTGTATACACGTTTCCAATGTATAGCGGTCGAAGAATAATGGAGGATACACGCAACAAAGGGCCAAGAGGAACGAACGTACGAATTACGAGCCGGGTCAATTATCCAGCCTGCACGACCGTTAATCCAATTTACGAAATGGCCGGTCACGAGCGTACCACACGCGGCGCGTGCGACGAAAAGGAGTGTGGACCGCGGCGTTTAATCGTGGGTGGAGAGGCCGACCGGCCGATCTCCGCCGGGCGAACGCGTTTAATGTATGTACTCGAGAAACGAGAGGGCGGACAAAGTTGCAAAACGCTCCGGGCCAATCATCGTGTCCCGTACGTTGCGTATGAAAAAAACACACACAGACACCGGGTCCCGCTCTTTCACCCGGAAGAGAATAAAAAGAAACAAGAAATACCATGGTACCCTGTGAAACACCGTAAGAAAGGTCACGGGAACATCTCCTGTACAATAAGTCAAAAAACAGTGATCTGTGAGTTGTTTTAAGTGTACGACGAGCGGATCATTGTTTAATTGATGTCAATTGGGGAGTAGAATTTGTGCCATCGAATGTAACTGGATGCGTTGGTAATTGTGATTATGGGAAGCGGTTAGTGTCTTCGGATAAATTAAGTATTTTTTGGGTATTTATTTTGTTACGAGTGTTTCATAGATGTAACTTATTGTTAATATAAAAGTTTATTGTGAATGGTATTATGTTCTAACGCTTTGCACTCAAAGCTTTTTCACATTGATTTACCAGCACGTCGAAGTAATTTTAATAAAAGATCATACAGGTATTTTACTGTTTTTTATCGATTATAGACATAAATGTTGTAATATATTTAATGACAAAATTTTACTTTGCAATGATAGACTTGAAATGGTTCTGCTTCGGAATCCTCGAGTGCAAAGGGTGAAACAATATTTCTATTTGTGATTTTGAGGTATTTCTAAATTTGTAATTGAAAATCTCTTTTCTTTTGAAAATGAAATAAGTAGAGACTTTGGTAACATTTTTTAAATTATTAATATAAATTATGGTTAAAACATTGAAATTTAATTTTAGAGTGAAATTAATGTTCACGAAAATGAAACTTTCATAAAAAATGTTCGATATCGATTTATTTTTATGGGGAAAATCCTGTTGGTAGTAGTTGCAGGATTTTGACCAACAGTTTGTACATGTTCGCGATTTTTCCACTGGCAATGTTTATCGACGTCGGCTCTATCTAGTAAACATTCATTTTAGTCAGACACGTTGCCGAAGATAAGTATTTAGCCATCCAAGGATACTAGATTAGACGGATTTTTAATTCCACGAGGAATTGCCGAAGCATAATCTCACCTACCGATTCGCCTATCGGGTTGTATATTTGAGCAAGCATGCAAGATTAGATAAGAAGTATGATATACGATTGTCAAGATGTATATCAGTGTTATCGAAGTAATATTGACACTGTTTGAAATGAAATTTTTTGATAAAAATGTAAAGATTAATACAGATTCACCCAATCCGTTAGAAAAAGAACCATTTATACATGTAATTGTCACATATGCAATTAAAATTAGATATAAGATTTAATGTAGATGCAATTAAAATTTTATTATGGTGGAAGATGCTGCCATTCGAAGTTAACGGATACGTCTTTATTTTTCAAACAGAGGGTTTAATTTGAAGCAATTTAGATCAAACACGATGTAATATAAATTCGCTATTTTGTGCCTTGCATTAGTTTTGCGTTAGATGTCCTAATTGCGAAAGTAAAATGGAGGAAAAAGTTGACAACAAAAATAATCAATAATAAAATACATAATTCTCTAATAAATATCTGTCTACTTATAAATTCTTTTACAATCCTAATCACTCTCAAATATCTATTATAAAATTGACAAAATACATTTCATTTTATTTCTAACATGATTTTACATAAGAATTTTAAGAAAAATCCAAAGTCAATTCTAACCGCTAAAAAAATGTCTTATACCTATAATAAAAACATAGCTCACCTTTTTAAAATTGTCCAAGCAAAACCAAGTCCACAGTTTGATACTCCAAATTCACAATAAATTTCATTCTCACCAAGAACTTTATTTAAATATCGAACACTTTTCTTTAAAACTTTTTAAGCATGTCAATTACAATCTTAACACGTAAAGGTAAATAAAACGACGACACTAATTATAATAATTTGAATTGAACACGTTTTTCTTCTTTTTGTTTAGTAAAAATATTATTAAAGAGCGATATTAAATATTGACGCAAATATGGATTGAAAACGACACTGATTTCGGTTGGTAAAGACTGAATCACTCGATTGGATTTTCCAATGTCAGACGAACGTAACAGGACGCGAGATCGTCACAACGACACAACCTCTCCGACAAGAGACGGACGATGACTGAGGATTTAATTATTTCGTATTTCAGAGATCCCCCACTAGACGGCTTACGGCTGCGCAGTGCCGATCTCTAAGTTTCTTATAGTGGTTACGTGCATTCACTAAACGACTTCGATACCATCGCAACCTTCGATTACTCGCGATTTTCTATGCATTCAAAACTCCTCCGAAATTTACTTTTCAATAATGACTTCCGCATTCTATACATCATTCTTGGACCTACATTTGAAAATTGACACATTTTATTTAAATAAATTGCAAATATTATATTTTTTGTGTTTGAAGTTAACATAGAGTATAATAATTATTATACATAACATTAGTAATTTAAATAAAGAACATTAGAAATTATTATTGTTACATTTAATTACTTTTCGTAATACTTTTTGCATGTTAAAATTTGTCTTCAAGAGTACTTGATTATTGTCATTTCTATGAGTACATGTCTATTTTCATAAACACTGAACGTGACGTTACTGAAACACCATTCCCTACATAAATTCTTGAGTCCTGCGTAATTTGCGGTTATTATCGATTTTCTCCAACATGAGTTTTTAAATTTACTTTTCCATGTACACGCACTTAAATCCAATGAGTCACATGCATGCAACCTTGCGTGCAGGATCATTAGAGCTTTGCAAAAAGTTTCCAGTAACGTAACAGCGATTCAAGCGATGTTCACTAAACAATTCTTTGAACTTTCCAAAACCGGACATCATTTCCTATTATTTTTACAAATGTTTCTCAAAACTGACGTCCAATTCAACAATTTCAATATATCGCTGTAAACTTTCATTAACACATTTCGTATCACGGAAATTTCGGTTATATTTTGCTTATGAACTGTATTGATTTTTTAAATAAAATATTATTTTATATTCAAGTTTTTGATCATTTTTATATATTTTGATATTGTTCTTTTATGTTCTCGCTGCTTTGTAACGCATGCCACCATCCATGACCATGTGTCCCTTAAAAATATTTTCTTACAGAAATGGGCGTGTACCGTATATGGTACACGTGGCACTGGACGCGGTAAACATTTCCTACGGGTCTCACAAAATAATCTTACAAAAGACAACGATTAAAGACAAGAAATACATTCGCAAATTATTCAATCCCCGTGCCAAGTTTCCGCAGTAAGCGATCAATCGAGTCCGCTTGCATTTATAACCGATCAAAAGCAAAGCAACGCCAACATCGTACAACCAGTAAGCAATTAATTCTGCGGGAATTGAAAATAAAGCCATAACAGTCAGCCAATAAATTCAATAAAGTAGTCTAACGTGTCTATCCAATCCCACCCCGCATATAACGTGAAACTTATCGGGCCTTAATATGTATCTTCTCGTAAAACGAGGAACAAATCTCGAGCACGAAGGAACAGCGTGATCCGACACGGAAACCGGCAAGCTACGAAATCGATTCCTGGTTGAGGGATCGTTGCCGGGACGTAGCAAATTGCTCGATAACGAAAAGAAACAGTGGAGGAGGTACAGGAAAAATCGCGTTTCATAACGTGCGAACGTTTGACGGGCCCGCGACGGAACAAGCACAGTGCACCCGTGTTGGGACATAGGTGAAAAGTCCGGCGTGCGTTTCGTGCATGCGCTTACACGTAATGCACGTGTTACAGAAACCAGACACGGGAGAACAGATAGGGTTGGCAAAGATCGTGCTAACGATCTACGAGAGGACGGAGTGCACGCGCGCGAGCGGCCGATCGAATGATCGAGACGGTGCGCGAGTGGGATCGCGGTCGCACGATCGGCAGCGGGACAATGTAATCGAGACGATAAACTCGATAACTGGTAATTAAAGTTTCTAGATCGACCCTGGATCCCTCGGGGAATGAATTAATTACAAGTAATTGCGAGACCCACTTATGTAACAGTCTGGCTGCTCAGACGATTTTATCGGAAATAAACGATCGTTCGGGATTTTCTGATTGATATATGGTTCTATGGATCATTCGATTTCGTCTTCGATTTCTGTTAATTTGTTTATAGGTGATTTGCTTATTGAAATATTGGTGTTTTGGTATGTAGGTTAGTTCGTTTTTAACACGTTGAATGCCATGGGGTCATCTACTATAATTTACTCGATTAAACGGAGATTATTTGAACACATTTCTGTATTATAAGTAAAGCTACTTGATGCGCTGATATTCAGCTAGATGAACGTGCAATAATAATAATTCAATCGAATGATTTAATATTATATTTTTTCCATTTCGTGTAGTTTATCTTATAAAATGATGCGCCATTCAAGATGTTAACACTTTACCCCTTGGCCTGTAATTTCTTTTTCAACTCTGATCGATAAGGCTACTTTGTCATTAATAATTTATTGGAAAAAGAGAAAAATTCTAAGCATATGTTATGCCTATATTTCTTTTTAAGTATAATAGTTGATTATATAGGAATGATATTTACTTTGAATTCGAATGAACTGAGTAATATCTATATTTGTTGAATCATGTTGAAAATCTTCACCACGAGTCTCACTCGTTGTTGTAGGGCAAGGGGTTAATATTTGAGTTATTCGGAGAGTATTTATGTATATTGTTTGTATGTGGCGCGATTAATTTATTTATTTGTAATGTAACAAATAGGAATAGAATAGATCGTTATAATCTTATATAATATTATTTGAAACATAAATTTATTTAGAAAAATTATATTTTCTTTCATTTACCTTAAAAGTAAAATTAATGATTATGTTTGTAACTATTACGAGTATACTTTCAATACGTAACACGTTCGGCTTTCTATTATAGCAATCGAATAAAAAAATTTTTAAATTAAAAAAAAGCTACTTTATTTGCTATCTACTTTGAATAGAATTCTCGCAAAATCGCAGAAACTGCACCGATATGTGTCTCAAAGATTTTTATGAAGAATTGGAAACCTGTTATCTCCACTCCTTTAGCAATTCTAGTGTCAAATAGGCCACCTAGTATGTAAAACAGTGAGAAAGCCAACGTAACGAAGGTTCGCGTTCGGTTTCGACAAGCTGGAAGTTCTAGAATCTAATATCATTAATCGTAACGGTTAAAAATAATTAAATCGCGTACTTGATCGAACAGGAGAACGCGATCTGGTCTAGGAGTCGGATAAACCGTAATTAATGCTCGTGAATCGACTTCCGAGTACGGAATCGAACGAACGAATCGAGTATTGAACGAATGTGGGTCGTCAACATTTTTTTTCCAGTGAAACGCCGCGCGCGCATCGATCGACCACGTGTACGGCCAATATAAATGTAATTATGCGGCTGGTGTATTGTCGACCTTACTTTTGGGTCGGATAAGCAGGAAGTCATGACCGCCATAAGTACGCACGCGGAATTTCAACAAGTTGACCCTTTTCATCTGGGTCATTTTCTAATTGCATCTCTCTTTATCATAATACGAGTATCCTAGACGTGCCGATGTTCATGACACTGCTATCTAACTGATGACAGTAATGGAGTTACAATTGTAATAAAATAAATTACTTAGATATTTTATTATGTTCATTTGAGAATTCTGTAATTTTTAATGTTTTTCTTTGGAATCCTGTAAAAGTGTGTTTATTTTTGTATTAATCCAACGTATCGTGGCTGCTACTTTCCAAGATAATATCATTTCTTCGTAACGATTTATCTAACATTAACCATATCTTGCCAGGAAATTATATATTTCTAATTAATTTAGAAATAATATATTCCTAATTAATTAGAACTAAATAATATATTTAGTTTTACTGTTAATAAGAAAATTAGAATTGTATATTAAATAATATGTTGAAAATTCAACTAACTCGTAAGAAATGTTAAAATAACATGAAACAATAAAAACTATATTATAGAAAATCGTACGTCAATAAACGTTTTTCTAACGAAATTGAACAATAAATAACAATTTCTCCTAATTGCATTTATTACTACATTCTCATTCTTACTACTACATTCTCTTCCATTATTTTACGAATAACTCTTTCCTTGATAAACCTGTTAAACTCTTGGGTCACGTATGACCCAGGCGACGTAAAACATATCACGACCCAGCATCCTGCGCAACGTTACGATAAAATATATCCTTTGTAATAATTAGACACGATATGCGACAAGCCCCGGAGGAAGCAACGTTCCGCAGGCACAATTGAGAGTGAGAAACGCGTGACATGACGCGCAAGAAAAAGAGAGGACTCGGATGAGAAATTGCGTACAGTGTGTACAAGGAAACAAGCACCGTTATTTGCATCGTGTCGGGAACGGTTTCGCATTCCGTCGTGATTGAATTTCACTCGGGATTAATATTTGAATATTAAATTCTGATAATTAGTTCTGGTACACCGTCGCCCGAACAATGCGGGATATCGGTGTTCCGCTTAACAGTATGCTATTTTCATTGTACCCGACCGGTAGACGGCATGCGGTTTTCGTTACATGCGACGCTCGTTAAGCAAAATGCATGTCCCCATGCTCGCGACAACAATTAACGACGAGAAACACGCGACACGACACGATGTTTGAAAAGAGACGGGAAAGAGGGGCGAAGAGGACAGGTGGAAAATAGTAGCTGAGCTATCCGTGAGAGGAACGAGGTGAAAATGCAATCTGTCGACATTAGTTCGCATAGGAATTCCAAGTGTTCCGCGTTCGATGGATTTATATCGAGGAAATATGGATTATCTAGTTTTCAATAGGCCCGCGGTAGTTTAACGTTAGGTTTACGGAACGCGTCTATTTAACGCACATTGAATTTTATAAACATTACTTGGTCAACGTCTATGTCGGTTTTGATTGATGGAAGTAAATGAATATTTACCATAATAGTCTATTTTTAAATCCCTAATTTCCAGGATCTAAACGAACATCAGTTTTGCTGGGAACAGTGGAATAAACTGTACAATAAACGTCCGTAAACCTAGTGTTAATCAGTTAACTGCGTTTGGCGAGTATACACGTTATCTTAAACCTTGAAATGATACTATTTCTTTCAAAGATGAATTATTT